ATATTCAGGACTTTGAATGCAGTAAGTTTAATTACCATTCTGAGTTGATGTTGGGTATGTCCATGTATGCAGGCAGCAGACACACCCTTGGACTCTATCTTATACAACTAAGTTTTTCTCTTTTTAGGTGTTTTCTTTCTTTGACGTCCTAACGTAAGTTTTATTCATACTTCAGGACTAAATTTGACTTTTAACAACAGCCCCTTTATAATACGAAGCGCATGACTCTATAAAACCTTACCTTATTGTGAARAARGGGTGAACTTTCGCAGGCATTAATTTTGAAAAGTCCGCCAAACCTCGCCATATTTGCTGTCTGTAGAAACCTGGCCTCCGGTAAAAGGCCAGGAAGCATCGGACCACAGGGAACCCAAAAAGGTAAAGTGAGAACATATAAATGCATAGAGCAGTTTTTATTTTAGAATCCAAATCAACTGAAATATTTTGGGAATACATTGCTAACTGTGACAGAAATTTCTTAAGCACAAACTACTAGTTTAGTAGACTGCGGTAAAAATTGGGCCCTAGAAAAATACGCGGRCTCCCTCGGGCTCCCTGTGCTTTTGAGCAACAAAACATTAGAAATGGCGGCAAAGAAGAGAAAGTTGAATGAAGTAAAAAGCGATGAYGAAGTGAAATTTCCAGATGTCAAGATTCACATTTTACCTCAAAGAATACAAAAGGCCAGGTTGAATATTTTGAAAGCTGCAGCCCGTCGAACAGGCTTCGAAATCGTRGAGAACTTCAAGTAAGAATTTTCATAACAGAATGAAATGCACACCTTGAGTATTGAGGCGATACTTGATTATATTTACTTGCCTTGCATGTGGCTTTTAGTGATTCTGTGACACATGTCGTCAGTCAGTACGACAACAAAGAGAAAGTTATAGAAGTCCTTAAAAGGTAATCTAATTTTGACATATTTTGAGCATTTCAAACGCCAGCTTTCTTTCTGACCAACTTAAGCTTAATATGCATTTAAGCTATTTGCATGTTGAATGATTTTATGAATAAAAGCTTGGTTAGCAGACGTGGAAAGATTGGACATTTCCATCCTGCCATCATAATTTAGGCTGTTACATATCTGAGCAGTTTTTGTAAAYAAATCCATTCTTTCAATTTTTCATTCAAATATTAAKTAAATCACATTGCTCATTTATCCATCTTTTCATTTAATAGTTCTTCTCAYACACTTATTTTATTGCCAATTTACTTCAATATTTTTTATACAAGTTTASTGATATTAAAGTTTGTATCTTTGAATAACTTTCGAACTTATTCAATGTTTTGATTATACTTCAGAAAGAGTGTGAAGAATATTGAAATTGTCCGATTAGACTGTAAGTTATGGTACAGAACTGTAAACTTGTTGTTGTGGTTTGTAAAAAAAAAAAAAATTTTTTTAGGTTTCCTTCCTTTGTCAGAATGATCAACAGCAATAATTTGTCTAATGTGGGTACCAGACASACAGATCTATTTCATTCTGTATATAAAAACAAACTCCAATGCCTYGCAATGCAAAGAAACTCATAAAGGAAGACTGAATACAATAGATTCCAGTTCACAAAGAAAGATCTTAAAGAAATGAAATAGCAGACCATGATATTGATCAGTAATATATGGAGGCATTGTTTTGAACTACTTATGACAGCTTTGATCCAAATGTGAATCCATAGGGCTAACTGCATGTACATCTACTGGTAAGCCAGTTCCTGTAAYAGATGGGTATAGAATACAGCCAAAAATGCAAGCAAGCCCTGGAAAAGGTACTTCCAGGTAATACAGTAATGCAAAGTACAGTGCAGTCCAGTYAGAATTCACACACAGTCCTCCAATTGGCAATTTTTCACAAAATGGTCAAGCTCTATTTGCCAGCCAGAAAACAAAGTCCCAAGGACATAATGACAAATTGATAGAATCACGTTTTTCTATAAACATGATGATTTATTACTATTTCTTTCTTTTGTTTGTTTGTTTGTTTCTGGATAAATTAGTTCAACATCTAAAGATTCCAAACTTAGTACAGATACCAAGGTAAATATTGCTTGTCATATTAAAGATGTTGCTTTTATTTATTTACCTTGTTTGATGTATATATTTTTTGTAATTCTTTTATTTCTTTTCTCTTTCATTGTACAGGAAGCAAAGTATATCTGCCAAAAACCTGCTCCTTTGAATCATCCAAATAAAAAATTTACTGTAAGTCTTATACAAAACAAATAAGCATTATTATTATTAAATGTGTACATTCTAATGTTATTTTTGATAATCAGTGTGATTTTGGTATTTTTCCAGGAAGCCCTGGAAATACTTGAACGGCATGCCTTATATGCAGACAGCAGTCACAGGGACTCAAGAGCACTTGCATTTAGAAGAGCATCCTGTAGTTTAAAGACCCTGCCAAAGTAATTGATGAAGCTCGTATCAAGAGTGCAAACACTAAAATCATAAAATAGTTAGCTATAGTAAATTGTCATGACACTGAATTGTAGGTCTATCAGTTTATCAGTCATTTTGCCATCACAACTGCACAGTTAGCCAGACAACAAAGCCACACACTCAGTTAGCCAAACACTTTTCTGTCTAAGTACATAAGTTAAACAAACACTTTTCCGTCTAAGTCGAACAGCTGGCCAGACAAGTCGTCTTAGTAAGTCAGTTAGTCAGTCAATGTCATCGTCTAAGTCAAAGAGTAAACTTTGCCGTCTAAGTGAATCACTGGCCTGCAATTTAAATATTTATACGTGCTTCTAACAAATTATGTGTATTTTTTTGTATTGACTATTGTCAACATCATTCAGGWAATATATTTGGCACTATTTGGTTTACTTACTTTTAATAGATTTGTGCWCAAAAAGTTTCACTGGTTAATTTGCTTGACAGGTGTTTTTATAGCCTCTACTCCAGACCRCTTCTAGAGCCTGATACTCTTAGTGTTTTTATATTCTTGAGCTCAATGTTATAGACTGTTTATTATCAGAATGGTGACTTGCAAAGAAGATTTTGTCAATCTTAACAATATTGGAGAGCATAGTAGGAAAGTCATTGAGGTATGTATGCACTCTGTGTTGAATTGATATGTTTCTTTAGTTTGTAATAGAATACAAATTACTACTGGAATACAAATATTTGTAATTCAATCAAGATCCTTTTTTACCAGGAAATCCTTGACAAAGGTTTTTGTGATGAAGTTGAAGAAATTAGAAACAGTGATTTCTTCCAGGCACAAGAGGTTTGCACCAAAATTGACTTACATAAGTAATATAGTGTACCATAGTTCTGTTGAGTCATCAAACTGGGCTTGTAAATAGTCCAGGATGATGAGAATGATTGAGACTTTCAAATTCATGATTGAGAAAAAACTGTATTTATTCATTTTTTAATTTTTTTTTACAGTGCACTCTTATGAGTGGCCATGAAATTGAACAGACCATTTTTTGTTTAAGCTAAATTTTTTAAAGAGTTTGATGTAAGTCACCTGATACGTTTTGTTGCCAGAACTTTTCTCACATCTATGGATGTGGTCCTGCCACGGGACGTAAATGGTTTGACAAAGGYTACAGTACAATAGATGACTTAAGGAAAGCTCTAAAAAATGAGGCACTGAAAGTCAATGGACAGCAACAAGTGGGTGAGACATCTACAACTATAATTATTTATAATTTACATTCTAGCTCCATGTATTTATGATATTCTGAAATATCTATATTCGGAGAAAGATTGTCCAGGAGATGRGAGAATATTTGACTGCTTTGTTGATGGAAATTATTTGACCATCTCGTGAGATCCATTGAGGAAGGCAATACCGTTGTTTCTATTAAATGGAATAAAAATAAATAATTGGTAATGATTTATTTTGGTTTACTGTTGTCATTAGGTATCTTGTATTATGAAGGAGTTGCGAATGGTGTAACAAGACAGGAGGCAGACTCTATTACCACCATTATCACAAAACAAGTGAGTTTAAGTGAAGAATAAACATACAATGAAAATATTGACAAACAATGGCATGCTGCTATATGTAGTGCTAGCCAATGGTCTTCCTGATGTCATTTTAAAAGGAATAATTACTAATTATTAGCTTATTAATGTGTATCACCTACTCTTTAAATACCTTATTTTCTTTGAGTTTATTTCAGATTTTTCATATAATAATGAACTTTTGGTCAAAATAGATAACAATTAAATTTGCTAACTTTATTGAATGTGAACCCACAACTCATGGAAAACTTCACTGATTTGACAGCTTGATGAGTTGGTTCCTGGCTGCACTGTGGAACTAGTTGGTGGATACAGAAGGTCAGTTGTGTGGTCTGAAATATGGCAAGACGTTTTATGCATTACATACATCATTCATGCRAGCAATGGTGGTTGAATTGCCCAGTTCATGTCATCATGTCATTCATCTACTTTTCAATCTTGTTTTTTTATACTGAATGTTGCATTTTAATAATGAAATGGTAAATGAATGATAAATTTCTTCTCTCTTGGATTTGCTTTATTCCAACCAGAAGCTGTGTACATCCGTTCCCACCCTCCCCCTATGGGGAATATTTGGGGAGATTTTTTTCCCTGTGTGGAGGAGGGATGGGATCAGATGTGCACAAGCTATCAAACCAGTTGTCTTTTATGCWTTTTCACCGCAGAGGGAAGCCATCTGGTCATGATGTTGATATATTGGTTACTCATCCAGAAGACATTAAAATCCCAAGCCTTTTACCTAATCTTGTACAGAGATTGGATCAGCTTGTAAGTATGATACATTAGATCYATCAGTCTCACATCCTGAATTTTCTGTCAAATTTTCTGGCYAAGGAAGATAATTATTGTACGAGTACCAAAACACTTGACTGAAAGGGTCTTATTTTTAATCTCTCATCATTGAACCACTCAAAGTTTTAACCAATCCATAAGTTACAGAGTTGTCGCCGGCCGTCAGTTTTGTGATCATTGATAAATCACTGCTGCTCATATATTTCACATAAAATATTGTCCATTTTAGGGCCACATTGTTCATAAAGACATGTCGATAGGTAAAAACCCATTGCATCGTGAAAAAGACTCTAAAGCACAATATAAAGTACAGTAAGTAACTCATTAGATAACACTTTGAGCTGCTCCATCAGCACTTTCCTACAGTTAAAACTGTAGAAACTCTCAAAAACTCATATAGGTTGGGCCAATGACATTTATATTTTAGATAAAAGACAAAGTGTGCATAAAAGTCAGAAATCAGATTTTACCAGAAGAAACCAAGTTTATATACATGAAAGACTGCATATGTCAGCAATTTTTCAAAATTTTTAGGCAAATTTTTATGAGAAATTGATCTTAGGCAGATCCGTAAGATTCAATAAGTCATCCTTCAAAATGCAGTTAAAAACAGTTCAATCAATTTATAAATTGTTTTTTGTAGTGTAGTATTCTAGATATTTCAGGCATCAAGTTTTATTCAACTGACTGAAAGGTGACACAGGGAACCTTGCAGGAGAATGTTGTATTCCCATCCATTTCTCATTCTTTCATTTCTCATCCCATTCATTTCTCATTCTTTCATTTCTCATTTTCCAGAGTAGGTGGGGTGATGGACCACCTGGACCATTGTTTTTGTATGTTCAAAATGGACACACATGCAGCAGAGGTGACACCAGACATAATACGACGWGTSGATATCATTGTTTCAYCTCATGAACAGTATCCCTGGGCCCTTGTTGGTTGGACAGGATCAAAGGTACCATAATCACAGACTTGAAGTGCATCCTAAAATAAGTRTTTCARTTGAACAYTTACTAGTAACTAACTATTTAGTGATAACTTATTGGACATCCTAAAATAAGTATTTCAGTTGAACACTTACTAGTAACTATTTAKTGATARCTTATTGGACATGTTTTACCAATGGCACTTAGTTGTATCCTGCATTTCACCAGCAATTCAATAGATCTCTAAGACTTTATGCCTCAAAAGAACTCAACATTGCTGTGTCAAACCATGGGGCATGGGACAGAAATCATACGGTAAGAAAATAAATTGACACTGGTAGCTATTTTAGAAAAAGTTGAATACAGAAATATACTGCTTTAGCAGAGTGTATTCCAAGACTGCAATTCATTGTTACTATTAAACTGTACATTAGTTGAGTTACAGAATGGCAATTCTAAATTATTTTCCATTATTTTCTTAACCGTATGGAGCTGGTATATGTAGGCGTGATATGATCATCTGGGTGTGAGAAATCTTGAGGAAGACTKWGTTATAGTTAGCTGATGCCACGTTTCAACATCCTGCGTAGAAGTCCATCTTTAGAGTGAGCTGGTATAGTCACTCTGAAACCATGAAAACATCTTTTCAACAGCGATATAATGACCAAAAATGCATTCAATTTTTGGAATACACTATCTTCAGTATTCAACATTTTCTGAATTAGCTGGATACTAATAATCATAAGTATAAAGCAAGGATTTTAGAATTTATTGTTTTTCATTTTGCTTCAGCCACCTCAAAAAATCAAGGCAGCCAGTGAAAAAGAAATTTTTGAAGTCTTAAAGCTACCATATTTGGAGCCACATGATAGGAACTGTTAGTTKCAGCAAAAAGCATATATTTTGAGACCATTCCCTAATAAATTTATATTTTTATCTGTAAAAACTGTAAAAATGAATTTTTTTATTTCATTTCATGTTAAAATTTCAAAAAACAATTCATGGTATWAAATATATTTTATAATTCAATTAAATTTCCCAAGTAATTTGCTAGTGCTATTTACGTTACCCATTTTGATAATAATTTTAGCAGATCAAGACTGGTTTGTAATCATTCAATTATTATTGTATATAAATGTTAAATCACTATAAATATAACATTCGTTTTTTAAAATAATTTGTTGTGCATATATTTTGTTTGGGTTAATGTAAAAAATACCTCAATACTTCAACACTGTACAATAAAAATGTTTTTTTTTTCCTTTTCATGGATTTATTTGGTCATATTCAATGCTGACTCAGAAGTACATGCACGATGACTGTACTTATATCTCCTGTAGATGATTTTCAGAATAAGCATAGTTCAATATAGAGACATCTTAATAGTCTTGGAGCATTTCACTTTCTCAGAAATTACAAAGTCATCATTCTGTCATATTAAGTAGTACTCTGTAAACAGAGCTACTTTTCTTCCCCGCCGAGAAGTGGGGGAGAAAAGTAGCTCTGTTCGCAGAGTAAGTTAGTAGAGRGAGACTGTCTCCTTCTACTAACAGTATGATTCTATACAACAATTGTCAGCAAAGTGATAAAGCACAGAGATGAGATACAGGCTTGTGAGATGGTTTGATCGTGTACAAAACAGTTTCCAGTGTACTGGTACACATCTTTTTTTAGGGCAGGAGGGTATTCTAAGTTGAGTTGATGTAGTGTTGCTGATAGAAAGCCAAAAAAATGTCAAGAAAGCCATTACAGTGTCTGATGGGAAGCCATTATAGTGTCTGATAGAAAACCACTAAAATGTCACTGTTAGTAGGGAAGCCATCAAAATGTCACATAAGAATGCAAGAGAAGGCAGGCCACTGTTCGGGAGCCACTGAAGAATGTGCTTCAATTCTGTCATTTAGAGGACGTTAATTTTTTCAATCGGCATGAAAGTCACAGCAGAAATCACCATTGGATCAGTGTAAACGTATTTCAAAGATGAAATGTCAATATGAAATTCCTTTGACTAAATACAAATATTATTCTGTTTGTTCCAAAAGACCATGTTGTTCTAGTAATTGTTTCAATTTTCCAGTTTCATAAAGATTAGCCGTCTGCGTTCCYCCTCCTATACTTTCACCTTTGATAAACACACTTGGGACTGTTCTTATTCCTGTCATTTCTTTAAGCGCTTCCTGCAAGAATTAAATTTCATTCTCTGAGGTATTTTGAGAAAATCATACAAGTTAAGTTATATAACTTACTTAATATTCAAAATGTTTCAAGTCTTACCTGTATTTCCTCTCCATCTTTTCGTGTTTCTAATTCATAAACAGTCATTTGAGATACGCCAACCTCTTTAAGAATTCTCTTAGCCATGATAGAAAAAGGACAAGTAGTTTTAGAGAACACAACAACRGGATCTTTTTGAATGGCACTGTTTACGAACTTTAAAGCGTTCCTGACCGCCATCTTGCTTTTAGAATTCAGGCTTCTTGAAGTTGCTCTGCTTTTCTACACAGGGATACCACCTTGTTGGGATTGACTAAACATCAGAGGTGACGCAAGTAGAACCCCTTTGCTATCAGCAAAGCCACTTGTATAGGAGGTGGGATCACATTAAGAAGATTTGGGATCAACATCTCAATACGTTTTGGGACCACGACCATATTTTCTGCGATGAAGCGGACTTACTACCCTCTTGGGGAAGCTTGTTCACCCTGGTCTAGCCAACAATCTACAATCGCAGGAGATAAATCAAAAGAAATAATTTGATACCAAATGTTAGAGTGCCTTTTTCTGATTATGTGGCTACAAAAAAAAGAAAAAAGACCCATGATACCCTGCGCGATTGCAAGAAGTTTGTGGTTTATAATGAGATGTAGTTTCCACCACGTATATCAAATAAAGGCGGCAAAATACGAGAACTTGGCGCACAACATTGTTTTTGTTCAAGTTTAGGTTCAATCTTTCTCGTTTTTCATCGCGAGCGATCAACTTGGCACGCAACAAAATAAACAAACTGCGTGCGAGATTTCTTCAACTCGCGGATTTTTTTAGAGGATTTTATTGCGTGCCAAGTTTTGTATCTTGCCGCCTTAACGGTTGTCCGCACCGCTAGGCTTATTAAGTTATATACACATTTCTTGACAATTTACATTTACTGGGTACAACTCATGAAAGAAAACCGTTTCAGCAGCGTATTATTTTATTTCAGACAAACCATTACTTTACAAAGGTCTTGAATCGTTTTTACTGGAAACATACTTGAAAATGAACAATGCTTCTATATTTTTGAGAGTGACATAATTGTCGTTCAAATGACACTATTTTCTAACGCAAGGCATGACGGGAGATTTGGTCTCTTTGAAATTTCGGTAAATGAGTACTAAAAATCTTGTTGAAATTTGTTTTGCTAAGACCTCAAAGGACTTAGAAATAACTCTCATTGTTGTTTTTGTTTTTACTTTTATTGGGGAAAGGACAACGTAAGTAAAAACAAAAACGAGAGTTAGTATTAAAAATCGCAGAAGTATAAACTTGCTTCTGCCTTTGCACAGTTACAACTACATAACTGGGATAAAAAAACCTCATCATTTTCAAGTCTGTTTCCACAGTTTTCCTTCAAAACCGAAAATAATACCCACCAAAAAACGGAACTTGTAACATTCCTGATTGAATTTTAAAATAAACTTATAAAAATAATTTCAATAAGATGCCTTCCATTGTAGGCAAACATTTCAAACATTGTTATTCTWGTATAATAACTTTGTAATCTTTGTATATCCAATCTATTGCATTTTTAAGACTCATGAATAGCCCACTTTTTGAATACTGGCTGAATGACCATGCGAAAAAGAAGTGTAGACGAGATTCTAGACGAATAAAAKAATTTTCTATTGCCAAGAGTTTTGTCTACAATTCTTGTATGCGCTGTTTTGCCATCCACAATTTCGAGAGTTCGCTATTCTAAGTTTAAAAACTAGTTTATAGTATATGTTTCCAACTCAACGTCAATAAATATACATTTCACCAGAAATTTCTTAATATTTTTATATCTGTTGGGACTATAATTTATCAATTCATCTCTCACTGCTTACTACATATTTAATTTTTCTACACAGCCAAAACTAGCCTTYGCACCCAGTCGATTCTAGCCACTCCGAGAGTTTGGTTCGAATAATACCATTTCTCTGGCCAAAGCTCACTCGAAGTGCTAGAAACGCCTRGCTACGCATGCTAAGCCAATACCTGAGGTACTGTATTCAGCAAGCGAAATTACACTTCATGCGTGAAACAGAGGAACGTTTACATGATAAAGTTACTCTAAGTATACACCATTTCATGATTTCAATTCCTCTGTTCCGCGGGTTTTCACTTGATATATTATTATTAACTATCACTATATATCTATTTTTTATTGATTTCAGTTCAGTTGATATAACAAGGCACCAGGCACTTGCATTCTTGTATCCAGATCCTACTCACTCCTCATTAGCGCGCAATGAGGAGGGTCTRAGTACCAGAATAGAAAACTGTTMAATTGAGACAAKAGATAGRACTRACTAATACTCWCATCCAATCAGATCATAGCATTCCCAAGCTCGTCGCAKCAATTTGAAATTTGATTGGCTTTTTCGGCTAAATACKGTGATACGATTGGTTGATGTTATCAATCAACAAATCAAAGCGGTCCTTAGTTATAGTAGCTGCAGTTTCCACCATATTCAAAACCTMAGGGAATACGRGCRATTTATATAGGCAATGTACAGTGCCATTTTATCCAAATAWAGCATGATGGRAGAAGACGCCCTCACRGTGTAATCCTATCCAAAATTCTTTCTTTGTGTTCCCTATACAGAATCGGCAAAATTAYTTTTATCTTCAAAAAAAGAAAACACGGAAAACTACTTGTGGGGGTATGTTAACGRTCAAAGAAWAAGTACAAYATTTACTCATCTTCGTACCCTGACCCCAAACGAAGGGTCCAGTGAACTACATATACCGTCATGCTTTGCTMAGAAAAAATGGCGTCGCCGCACATTGCCTATTGGTCAACCACATTACACAATTATATCTTTTCCGTTTTCTTTTTCTCAGCCCCAGTACTTTTCAACGTATTCTATAAGGATGGAAATGAGATCAATGGRTAACACCTGGAATTATATACGCTACAGTTTATATATATAGACTTTTTTTTTCTTTTAAGCAATGCGATATTGAATATCAGCTTTCGAAGGACTACCTCGACGRCCCCGCAAGCTTTACATATAATGCACTGAGTCCAGCAGCGAATTTGAAGAYATTTTCTCTAGCATATAAACCTAATCGAAGAAACGCTGCCGGTTCGAAAAGATTACATCATAGAATGGATCAAAACTGATCGTGAGAACTGAAGACACAGTTCAACTTCCACAGTTTTGTGACCCAATTTTGGTATCTTTAACGTAAATGAATGGTTTATCAAATGAATGACTTCCTTCAACCTTGATTCATGATTAAGGCAACTAAACTGAGTTGTTTTATGAGCCATCGTGTCTTCCAAAAGACTCGTACTCAGTCGTTTCTCTTTACGCGTCGCGTTGCATCAAGAGAAGTCCGAACTTTTCTTTCTTCCGACTTCCCATCATCCTTTGCGCGCCCCAGAAAAAAAAAAGATTAACGACTGGGTACGAGTCTGGTCTTCCAATGCTTTGTTTCGGTCCTAGCTTCGATGACGTCACCTTTATGAATCGCGCGATTCTTCATTTAGGCTTATAAAATTAAGTGAATTTAGATAACAGTTATATTCATCTATTAGATATTATGTTTATATATATTATAATATATCATTCATACATTGTAATATAATATATTCTGTTTGAAATTCAAATGTAAACTCCTATATCACTAAAAATCATAAAAACTTAAAAGTATAAAAAAATTAACATTATGTACAATTCTTATACTCAAATCTAAATATAATCCTATAAATTATTGCCGCCTTTAAAGAAATGAGATTTGTTTTAAAAGATAGGAAAAGAAWTTCGAAAGAGAATGAAAGAATAATAGGAAAATGATAAAAAATGAATGGCGGCATTTTCGTTTATATCGATTGGTAAAATCACCGACATCATCATCGCCGTCGTTGTCATCGTCATTATAATCGTGATTAATATAATCATCACCAACATCAACAACAAATCACAACAGCAACAGCAGACACAGCAGCAACTGAGAATCTTATCTGCGTTCCAAGTTTCATCATAGGGTTTCGTGGATTGCGGCTACAATTGGGGACGCCCTTGTCTAAAGAAACAAAAAAATCATAAAAATAAGTTAGACGTCTCAAAAACGGTTTCAAATGCGTGCAATATTACTGACCTTGTATTCGGAGAAGACATGACAGACGTACTTGCCACCTCCTTGGCATTGGATGAGACCAAAATGACCACCGTCACTATGTGGGAGAAGAAATGAGTCAGTTTTTGACTGAATGGGTCTAAATGAATGGGAGAAGAATGTTGAATAAATTAAAATACAAGTGAGAAACACTAAAAGAATACAATGAAAAAATGGAGGGAAGGTAAACAGGCAGGATGGGAGGGAAAGACTGAGGGCTGTAAGTAAGGAATAAGGAGGGAYGGAAGAAAGGAAAGCGGGAAGGCAGGGTAAACAGAAGGAAGGAAGGGAGGAGAAGGATGGGTAAGCAACAAATAACAAAGAAGTGTGCTTATTTGATAGAAATTGGTAAAGCTGATGTCATAYTTCGTTAAAAAATGCGCATCTTTTAACATTAAATTACCTGGTCAGACCACAGTATGATATAGTATCGGCATCCATATGTCTTCTTGAGAGTGCACTTCGTTGGCTATCATATAAGGTAATACCATTGATAGCAACATCGAGTTGACAGATGAGTAGAGTACCCCCAGTAAGATGCTGTACRAGATAAACAAACAATGTATCAAGAACAACGTCATGTTGTGATGTAGAGTTTGCTTGATATCTACACCATTAATATTCCATTCCATAGGAGTTGAACTCCACCAATGTAGCTAAATGTCAAATCTACTCTACAATGCGTTAGTTTTTATTCTAAAKGTTTARAACAACTCGGAAAAGGTTTTCTAGTGTAGTTAAATCAACACCAGAAAAGGAGCTATCTGATACTTTTTTTTACTCCTCTTTTGGAATTATATCAACTAATAACAAATAACAGTGCATGGTTTGATATTTGACCACTGTATTACTCTTCTCGCAAGGTATGAAATCGCATAACAAACTACCTTAGCAGCTTCTTGTACAGTTTCAACTCCAGTTCCCACAGCAACAGGAAGTGCTCCATAATACTTGACCATGAAAGTATGGGTTGGTTTAGGAAGACCAGCWGMAGATGTTGAGTCATCCTRCATAAAAATAATTGACCACATRCTTGAACGKCAATGGTCAACTGGCAACCCTTACRAGTTTTTGTTTATKTAAAATAAAGATAATAATAAAGTCTGTAAAAGTAATACAAGCAAACACTTACTCTTTCCTACGAATAGACATMTGAAGCTTTTACGTCATGTACCGTATACGCAATGCATTGTAGGATATGTTTGGGACAGAAACTTGAAACTTGAAACTGATCCCACAATGCATTTAAAATCAAGTAGTGACGTAAAAGGTTTAGAAGTAATAATATTCGATCTTAAAACTGACGGGTGGAWACGGATTTCGAATGGATGCTAGAAAGTCACTTCCTTTTGTTATATGAAAAGTCTCRAATACGACCGCTATGGATGCCGGTTGACGATGGCCCTTTAAGAAATGGTCCACATGGCGAAAAAGCGAGCAATCTCGGATCAAATCGTTTAACTAATCACAGCAACCCTTTTACTGTAATTTAGAAATCTTACCTTCTTCCCTCCACTTTTCTTGGGCCCCATTTTAGCAAACAATCCTTGTACACTTGACATAAAATTACTCTACAGTAACATAACAACAATAACAAGAAATGAGTGKATAAGCATCACAGCTATACTTCGACAGTTGAAGAAATGGGAAWAGTCGTGATTTACAGGATGACAACGATATATTTTTTTAAACTCACCTTATCTTTAGCTTTATCAGGTTCAGCTTCCTGAGCTGCTGCTGCCTTGGCTGCCATTTCCGGGTAAGCATCCAAGCACTTTTGGTAACGCAGCTACACAAATACATACAAATACATAAACATCCTCATTGATTCAGCTTTAATTAGCTATACAAGTAACTACCTGACAAGCTTCCTCCAAAGCCTTGGTKAGGGCTGCAGCATTAGGTGTGCACTGAAACACGTGACACAGATACTGGCGCTCTGGCTCGTTAGCCATGACATAGCCACATAACCTCTCATCTTTTCCAATGCCCATGAATGACAAGAAACGGACTCTGTCCTCTGATATCTCTTCTTGTGACTAAAAACAAACAAACAAAAATTACATCTATTAAACCTTCTCCTCTTGTATCTCGCTTTTCCAGTTTTATATATTGCGGGTTCTGTTTGGAAAAACAGGGAAGAGCGAGGACTGGTGTTCATTTCTTTCCCCCCTCTTGATACTAGTCCTGCTCTCTTGCCAATCTAACACAGGAAGCCCGTAATTTTTTTAGAAAGGAAAGAAACACCTGCGTAGGCGGCTATACTTTATCTACCATATGAGAGGTCTACTTACCGTACAGTCAGTTAGTTTGATACAAGATACCGTTACTTGTATCAACACAGTTCTTCTTGGTCCTCCACGTGAAGCTACTTTGCTGATAGCCCTGTTGAGCATCTCCATTCCTAMACATAACAAAATACCATATAAATATTGGGGTGACAGCTGGGGRATTTAYCTAGTTTCTTCAATTACCTGTGGGTTTGGGTACATCAATACTGCCCAAGTAGGTCGCGGTAAAGTCCTTTCTTTGTTCTCTCAAAGGCTTCTCGTTAAATCCTGCATTACCTACACAATATTAACATGCAAGTATGAATGGTTAAACCAAGAAATGGTTGGCTGCTTAAATAAATCTTAATAATAGGCAATAATAGCCAATGTGCAGCGACACTATAGACCCCTTGCATGTGACGTCAAAGCAGCTTCATCTGGAGGACAAAACAAAAGATTTTTGCCCTCTTGGGAACTAGAATCTATTCATTTCTCCTCCAGTTGGAATTGCATTCCAACGAACTGCAAGGGGTTTATATTGTGCAGCAAAACATGATGGTAGTTGTAGTTCTCGTTCTTTTTCATGTCTGCTAAAGCTCTCCTTCTATAATGTTTTTGTTTTTTTCTAATCCAATATAGAAGTAGTTTTGCTGTTTCTACAAAGAAAGCGTAAAAAAGGCTTTTAAGGAGATATTTTAGTATCTATATTAAGTCTAAGGACTACAACTACCATCATGCTTTGCTGCACAAAATGGCGTCGCTGCACATTTGCTATTGATTGATTAAATGAATTTTTAAATGACTGGTAGAAACTAGCGGTAAACTAGTTTGAGCTGCGTTAGTTTTTCTAAAGAAACAGTTGTGTAAAAAGATAAATTTAACACCATAAAAAAGTAAATGAAACTACTTACTGACATTTCGAACATTAACCCTTAATAGGAGTAAGGATTTATAAATGAATGGATAGATGAACTTGTAATACTCACTTTTCACCGATGGGGGTGGGGGTGTATTGATAATATCAGACCAAGGTAAAAAAGGCTTTGAAGGAGATATTTTAGGGTCTACAATATAATAAGTATGAGGACTACAAATACCATAATGCTTTGCAACACAAAATGGTATCGCTGCACACTTCCTGTTGATTAAATTAATGGATAAGTTGAACTTGTAATACTCACTTTTCACCGATGGGGGTGGGGGTGTGTTGATAATATCAGACCAAGGTTTCTGTGTGTTCTTTTTGCTAATTTCTTGTGCTCGCTTCTTTTCTTCCAATATTCTATTGCACATTTCATGAAGGGCTGTCGTTATGGCACGGCCAGAAATGTTACCATGACAACGGAACATGTGRCATTTGTGTTTACTTGTGTTGGGGTCTCTGGCAACATATGCAAAATCCCTRCAAAAGCAAAGACACAATTATYRAAATTGTTATTTAATCTGATTATAGTTATTAGTGCGCTGTACTTTGAGAATGATGTCAAAGAAACATTGGGAATTAAGAGATATGTTACAGTATTCTAAGAGAGAAAATGTCAGTTTACAAAATCCAGCATCTATGTCCCTTTTACATCATTTTATGTTTGGGTGATCATCAAAAAGYCCTTGTAAATTTGACTCACTTCCTTCTCAAACCCCATAATATAAGATGTGAATATCTTGGCTTTCAATAGGCAATGTGCAGCGACGCCATTTTGTGTAGCAAAGCATGATGGTAGTTGTACTACTCATGATACTTTTTTGTGTCCGCTTCAACAGTCCTCCTAAGTAGTTTTTGCTTTTTCTAAGCAAAAATAGAAAAAATTATACCCTTTCTACTAAGAAAATGTAAAAACGGCTTTGCTGCGCAAAATGGTGCCACTGCACATTGCCTTAATTACACAAATACCAAGACACTAAAATTAGAAAAACAGTATAGAACATGATATTCCTTTATAATCAAGACTTTATTCATATAGTGGTAAATTGCTAATTATTTTGATACCTGTGATCATCCTTCCCTACTCCCCAGACTCTCATCTTGGAAACTGGCTGAACCAGTAGAGTTATTTTATTCCTGGGTTCCACTARTTTCAATGTATCACCTTCAAGCAGTAGACGTATATCTTTTCCCTGAAAACAACTGAATTGTTAGACAAAGAAAGGGTGGCTGACTGGTGTGATAACTAGTCTGTCATTTAGGACTTTATATATCAATCACATAGGATACAATAGTTAGTGTACGTTATACCATTTTACAACTGAAAGGCCAAGAAAGTGGTGTCAATCCTTACCTCTCCCCATGTTTCTGAAGTGCACCATAAATCTTTCCTAGCTTTAGCCATGGTACTAATGCATTCAGATATTGTATCACTCATGTTATGAGGTGCTACTTGATTCTCTTCCAACTCTATCCAACCCATTGAATGAATAGGAAAACTGAGAACCTAAAGACAACAAATTATTATGTAATTTCCACTGGGTGAGGAATGAAAAGAGTGTGAGCCTGGGCCGAGAGGCCTTAATCACACGTGTGGGCAGGGTTTTAGTTTAGTTGCTTTTTCACTGTCTGCCATCTACTAASTTTTCATCCAGGCAGTGCCCACCCACCCTAGTGCAGTKCTTGTAGTCATTCAGAATTTTGTACTGAGGAGAAATATGTTGAGTTGTCAAATTGTTAATAAAATARTCTGTTGGYGGTAGTCAGCTAGACAATAAGCTCCAGCAGGGGTGTGTGAGAATTTAGTATTATAATTATTCTTTAGGCAAGAAGTTCCCTGAAAGGGCACACATCAAAACTTACTGTAAACAGTWAAGTGATCAGTTCTTTATAAATATYATGAAACAASTACAAATCAAATATGTATAATGACAACAGAAAACAATTCAGTACAAAGTAACTCTATTTCTTTAATGAATAAAGTCATGGTTTTAGYGTTTGAATTCTACCTGTTTCATATTTTACTACCATATTTTTWACATACATCTATTTGACGTTAATGTCGTTTATGTTGAAAAATTTTTTTTTCAGAAGTCTCTGTGTAATGTTTGTTTGTTTTCATTGTTGCTACACTTAGATATTTTATTTTTTTTTGAAAAAGGACATGAATGAACAATCATTTGCCTTTATCTAAGGGTAAAGTGTTAAATTACCACAGATTCATACATAAATCCAATTGCAAACTATTATGATATAAAGATATAAAACACCTGCGCTTTATGTGAAAGGAATTCATTTAAATAAAGAGGAATCAATATTTCATTATTTTTAGAACTATTWATTTCTTACCTTCTGCTTCTCAGGTAAAGGGCTGACCTGATCAACTGATTTCTTCTGCAAAAAATAATAGGCACATTTCAATCCAAAAGCTAACAAGAAACATGTCAATGTTATCACATCCAAGGAGTTTTCTACATGTARGAGTTTTAGCGATTTATATTCCATTTTCAAGGGCTTTTCAAGCACCTTTGAAAATGAGTTATGAATTACACAGGACTTTTCAAGGATTTCAAGGAGTGGCACGAACCCTGTGTAAGGTCGTTGTGTTTGTTTAGTACCTTAGGTCTTGGTTCCACTTGTGGTCTCTCCCACTGCGTTGTACCYGAGGCAATATGCCAATAATACTTTGTACCGTTTTCACTTTCAACTTCTTTCCATCCTTCAGGTAGCTCGTCGTCTACATGGTACTCTGTTCCTTTGTAGCTTTGCAAGTCAGTAGGTGTCGTTGGAGGTTCTGTAATGCCTACTTCTAAATAGGGTTTAATTAATGTACCAGAGTCGCTTCTTGTCTTACTATTAGGATTTGTGATGTCATCCTGCGACTTTGATCTTTTGTGTCCTTTCTTAAATAAACTTGTGGACGGATAACCGAATATTTCCCCYGAATTGTTAATAAAGTTGCCGTCAGAAAATTTTCTCCTGTGCATTTTTTTGAATATACCAATGCCTTGCTGTTGTGATTCATTGTTGCTTGAAGAGTCTTCTAAGTTGCTCAGTCTAGATGGTATTGGTGGTGGTAGGTCCTCTGTTTTTTTCTCTACTTTGTTCTTGGGTTTCTTTTGTACAGCAGCATACAATGCCGAGCCATCAAAATCTACAAAATATCCACAAATTAAAATATGCCATCAAAATCTACATAATATCCACAAATTAAAATATGCTTGGAAGTTATCATTTAACATTTTGTGTTTGAAAGTATGCTATATTGAATGCATTGTAGATAATACAGCCTTTTGCACAAATTATGAAACATTTTTATATATATAAATAATAATATACCTAACCAAATATCAAAAACACCCCAGAAATTATGGTTTATCTCTATTATATTTTGTCATGATTGCCTAGCATCAGGTTGTTACAGACAAAATATCAGCGACGGTATCCCATAATTTCTTGGGTGTTTTTGATATTTGGTTAGGTATATTTATATATATAAAAATGTCTCATAATTTGTGCAAAAGGCTGTATTGTAATGTAGATGACAATATAGAATGATATTTATAACAGAAAAATAGTATGAATAATTTTCATCAATAAATAATGTAAAAAGCTTAACAATAGAATGTAATGGAAAAATCTAAATTTGTATGTAATAAGAAGGAGCTTGTACTGTAAAAACTCATCTCCAAATTAAAACAAAATAAATTTTTATATGATAAAATGTCCAATATAACACAAAACACAAATAATTAATATTTATAAATAATGAAAATAAAAGTAAAAATATATTAAAAACATGAACTCCCACACTTGTAAAATCTAACATCATATATTGTGAGGAAAAGGTGCCTTTTGCTTTCAAAAAAAACCTCCATAACAATTCAAAGGCTCAAATAATTAGATGCATACAGAAAAACCGTCTCCAACTCCAGCCAATGAGTCTGCATGAATATTAAACCTATAATGTTCCATACTGACAACAACAGCAATAATCATTCTAATCACTGAAAATGTAACCATTTTAATACCTTCAATGGTGTTGACATTCTCAGAGTTATTGACTSTTTCAGTTTCAATGATTCCAGGTCCAGAATAAGGTTTAGGTAACGGAGGAGGAGCACTACTAGATTCCTCATCACAAGCGTCAATCATACTCTTCAGTTCTCCCGTAATGTGTTCATAAAGATCAGACCTCGTAATTTCCTTACGCAAGGGAATTTCAGGAGGAAGTTCTGGCTCTTTTGGAGTTCTTTGTCTGTCCTTATTTACAGTAGCATACACATCTCCAGCATTTTCATTCAATCCATCATCCAAAGTCTGTTTATGCTCTGTCCTTGAGTCATTTTCTTGAGAATAATTAAAGGTTTCAAAGCCTGGAGATGGCATGAGTTGAGCTAGATTTATATTTGACCTATCAAAATTCCCGTTTTGTATTTCTACTTCTTCGTATGAGGTAGGCTGTGGCCTTACTCTGTTGTCATTTGATTGAGGTTCAACTGGGCCAGCTATTCCCCCATTTTCTGTTATTAATAGAGGTCTAAATTCATTWCCAGCGTAAGCATATGAAAGCCTCTCTTTTGAAGTGTTCACCGGTGCGCTAACACCACCTTCTTCTGTTACAATCAAAGGTCGAAACTCTAAGTCCGCATACGAATATGCTGGAGAGTCATCAGYTGGTTTGCTTAATATTGACTTATTTTCATCAGTTGCTGCCGGACTGGTTGTGTCACTACTAGAAGCATCAATGTCATCAAAAGACCCTGTTTCATATCCAATATCATCCTTGGGACTTAATTTACCAGAAAGAACATTTTCATCGCTATCACTTCCGCTTGCATCGTAGCTGTTTTCTTTCTTAGACCGAGACGTTTTTCTAGACTCTTTGACTTCRCTTGATRGCTTTTCAGCAATCTTTTGCTTGGTRTTTGAAGGGTATTTGTTTGTTGAGTCTGCAGTTGGSGTTTTACTTCTTGTTTGTTTGGAATCTATGAATGATACAGAAAATGATTTTTACATTTTAGATTCTTAGGAGACAGATGGTGCATATATTGATAAATTCTTTTGACCACAACCTCTCTGAGTGAGACCCAGTGAAATTGCTAGTAAATCTAAATATCAAAAAACCAGCCAACCAGGAGTGACTTTACTAAGTGAACATAATAATAAAACAATGAATAATTCACATCTTTCACTGCAGTGAATCTATTATTCTGTAACAAAGCAAGAGAGTTTCTTTAAAAAAATACTGTCAAAATGTAACAGATACAAAGCTATTTAATATACATTACGCTTTGAAAGGATTTTAACACTGTTCAAAAGACAAATCACCTCAGATACCACATAAATCATGCTTGACACAAAAACTATTCATGTCTGTTGTGAAAAGCCTTCTCACATATCTACTTAATGTGTATAATAATAATTGATATATCAAATACAGTAGATGGACTATGTAAATACATGGCTCTCTGGCAAAAATCATATATAGCATACAGTATTATATTTGGGTTAAATTTATTAAATTGTCAGTAATTMAATACCCAAAACTCAAAACAATATTTAAATGTGAAACACAGACTAGGCTCGTTTATGAATTTTTCAAACCAATTTGGTTTTTCTGTTTTTGTTAGAATATCAAAACAAAAACAGAATCTAAAAATACCTCATGCACTTTAAATACCCATCCAATAAAGAAAATGATAACAATATTTTATCTGAACAAAATGCCAAATATCTTTAAAAATCTGCTTGTATTATCTAGGGATATTAATACAAACTCCTAGACATCAAATATCAAATACAATATACCAGACATCATTTATTTTATCTATTGTTTCACTGGTGTGTATATTGAAATATGAATTGAGCATATAAACTTCATGAATCACAATAATATTCAAATCATATGGTTGTAAAAACACAAATTAATAATAATTATATATATAGTGTTAGTAGAAACATTCAAATTCCCAAAAAATATTTATAATCTTGTTTACATAAGAAAAAAAATGAAACGACTAAAGATTTACTACTATATAGTTTCGTACCGCACAAAGAATTGTGCGGCACTCAATCTTGTTTATGTATATTTCATATCCATTTTCAAGAGTGAGTTAAACCTTATAAGTGATCTATTATCTATTATATTTTAATATCATTATCCGTAAAAGATTTGGTACAGTTATAATGTGATATGCAATGAATTGTGGTTACTAAATGAGAAGTAAGAAGGAAAAAATTCAAATACAAATATACAATAAACTTAAAATAAATATTAAGAACTCAAACGTTGTTCAATAAACATATACAAATCCTGTGTAAAATAAAAATAATTTATGATCATTCAAAAAAAAAAAAATTAAAATATTTTCATTTGCCCAACAAGTTTTCAAAATTGGCACTTTTATTACAGAGATATAGTGTAGAATATTTAATTTGTACTATATATTATATACAAACTTGATATTGAAGAATAATGTTTCATAAAGCTTTGAAAGGAGCAATTTATATAATAAATGAAATATTGAGCCAAAATCTTGAATATGATCAATGAATTTATTGCTATAGACTGATTTGGTATGGTTTACATACAATGAATGATCGTAAGATATCAACTTAGTCTTGCCTAAGGCCAAAGAGTAGCATGGAAAGGGAAATAATTATTCTAATATTATGCATTTTTTTTTATAAATTATGCATTCTAATTTAAACACATGTTCTTCAGACTGTCTGCACAAATTTATCATTTTKCTTTCCCATGATCTCCAACTGGTTTTAGGTTTTGGGGAGTGATGTTTTCAATTAGAAGTATATGACAAATAAGAAATTAAACCCTCAAAACATATATAAGAATTTAAGTGCTTACAAAGTGAAGAATTACCTGTTCTTGGTGAACCACTTTTTCTCCCTTGCTGTGATGGACAGGTCTGACAAAAAAAAGTAAAAAATATCAACCACTCTACTTAGAATAATATGTGCCATTCAACAATATTGTAAAACAGGCTGAACATTATTAAACATTGTTTGGCAAAAAAAAAATACACAAAACTTGACTTCTTTTCATATTATCAAGTTGTGGACATCCTTACTATTACAACCTAAGCAGTGTGCTATATGCTATATATAATAATTATACAAAGTATTTATAAAATGCTGAACAAATAATTTGGAAAATTTAGAAAAGATATCTTTAAAAACATTTGKTGATTCTAGTAAAAATTATAATTCTCAGCTTCAGCTTTACTTTTATGATAATGTTGTTTCAGCTTTTCAGTTAAGACTATAGACCTATACCTTCATACAAATAACACAAAAAAGTGAAAGTCTAAAACATGCTTCAAAAAGCATTGATAATTWGAAATCCAAAGAGACTTTTTCGAGAAAGTGATTGACTGCTCAATTCAATATTTAYCATTAACTGACCTAAATATAACTAATCAAAATCATCATTTCACAAAGTGATCCTAGCTTTCAAAAAATCATTTATAATTAAACAGTTCAATCCTACTTGAGCTATTATTATTCAAATATTTGGCACTGAATATCACGAAGTAAAATGCTGACAGATCTTATGGTCGCTGTCTTGAATATTAGTGCAGAGGTGCTTACCAGTCACTGACTTTGATAAAGTACTTAACTGCATAAAAATAGTTCTTGAAAAGCACCTGGTTAACTTAAAAATAAAGTATGCTTTTAAACAATTCATAGAAATTGTCCCTTTTTTACTTAATGATAATGTCTAAAGAAACAGGCAATGAACGTCTCAGCACTTAGACGTATCTTCCTGATATTGCTTCKGCACTTGAATTATAACACCCCAAGAAAAATAGACACATTATAATTCATATAGCAGCTACATGCAGTTTACAAGTGGTACATAGAGCTATAAAGTATCATAAGAGCTCCTAAATCAAACCATAACATTCTCCAGAAAAAGCCTGAAAAGGAGCCCCTTAGCAAAAACTTTCAAGTACGTTCAAAACAAACACATTGTTATGAAAAACATACACCACACTGACTGCCCTTTATTTTCAACTTCCTTGCATTTTCAAAATCTTTTATAAAATATTATGAAAGTAAACATTATATTGCATTATTCAAAGTAGTTGCTAGCATGAAGAAAATTCAGAATGAAACATTTTCTTCACTTTTCTGTTGACAGCTAAACAGACATTTTTCATTACAAAATACAAAACTCAAAATGTTGTTCTATTACCTCTAGGATCATTTTTGTTCTTGAAATCTTMACATTATAACAGAATTCAACACAATATTACAATCTTAACAGCTACTCTTAACAGAGTTTCAAGATAATAAAGTCATTCATTTGTAGAAGAGAATTGCTATYATATGAACATGTACACTAACATTGTGTTTATCTATGTATACCTTGCTATGGAAGGCCTGTTTACATTGCTCACAGTACAGAGCTTCACATGTAGCACAACATATCACAGGTTCTTTGCTCTCACACACAGTACACTTAGGTTCTTTCATGACAACGTTTTGTACTTATAGCAGCCATTTTTAAGATGTGCTACTCACTGATTTGCATATATTTGTAGTCACTGACATGTGACCAGCAGCTCATGAATAATTTAACATGTACACACTGTAAGAGTAACTCCTTTTAGTCTTAAGTTTATAGTTTACTATATTTAAAAATAAAGTTTATCAAAATGTTGAGAAAAAGATATTGTTTACATGTTCACATAGAAACATTCAAATACCAAACATGCAAATAAAAGCAGATTGTATTAATTAGTTTTTCTGCATCTAGAATGTTTCAACATATCACCAACAAAAAGGCACAGCACATTATAGTTTATTGAAAACAAATTCACATAGTCAAAACAGTATTGAAATAGAATGGTATGAAATCATATAAAAATAAATTAGAGAATTGAATGAGAGGTTAAAATAGAATAGAATAGAATAGAATAGAATAGAATAGAATAGAATAGAATAGAATAGAATAGAATAGAATAGAATAGAATAGAATAGAATAGAATAGAATGGAATGAAGTGGAATGGAATAGAATAGAAGAATAGAATTAGAATAGAATAAAATAGAAATAGAATAGAATAGAAGAATGGAATAGAATGGAATAGAATAGAATGAAATGTTATGGAATAGCTTAAAATATGATGGGACAGAATAGAATAGAATGTGATGGAATGGAATGGGATGAAACAGCACAAATCAAGAAAAATAGAATAAAATGGAAAAGAATACAACAGAATGGAGAAAATAGAATACACAAAGAATACAATTATGCAATGAGATTATACTGTGTCTACAAAAACTTCAAAATTAAAAAAAATATTGAGCTGACTCAAAAACATAATAATTGTAAGTAATTCATAACATRATTATTCTACCTTTGACAGTGTTCTCTTAGCAGCAGTAGGTCTTGTTGTTCTTGATGGTGGTCTTGACGGAACAGTCGATGTCTTATCACTACTAGTGCCTGATGCTGAGACTTTTTCCTCAGATGTCTTGGAAGTACTTTTCTAGAGCAAGAAAAAAAACTTCAGTATAAGCTTAAGACTGCATAAGGACAGTCTCCAAAGGTGTACCTAAAAATTACAAYAAATCAAACACAAAGCTCCAATCAAGATAAGATTTTTGTTGTGGAAAAAACTCAGAAAGCTGTACTTCTTTGTGAATTGAAAACAAGGAGCATCAATGGACAACTTTGCAAAGCAGTGTTGGGAACAAGAAGCTTACAAGTTAATGAAATTCAAGTTTTCCATATTGAAAAACAAGTTTTGGCACACAAAGACAACACAAACATAAAAAATATCCAGTTTTAAGCCAAATGAATTCAATTTGACAGGATCCCTGACTGTGAYTCAGGCAGGGGGTAATTAATAACTCAAAAAAGCTAGAATTTAATATAAGTAGAGAAGGCTTTTGACAAACATATGGCATTGAAAACTCCTCATCAAATCAACTTTGTAAACAATTCTGTCTTTATAAACAGCATAAAATAAATATTTTTTGTAACAAGAAGGGGAAATTTCACAGGTGGATTCTTGTAAACATGAACTCAAAATACAAATAGGCCATTTGATTTTAATGAAAAAAGTACATTAAAATGATTATTTCTGTTAGTTTTATTGTCCTCCAAGTATCCTTCATCTAATTGATGGCCAGAGTTTGTTGATTTGAGCTATTCCACTGATTACAATTTGTCAACTATTTCCTTATTAGAAAAAGCGTAATGCTATTTAGGAAACAATTGAGTWGTGCATCAATTATGAAAGTAATTGRATAAGAAAATAATCAGGGAAATTGAGTGCATTATTGGGATAAACTCACTGCCAGTGGGGACTTAATGAAAATGAAAAAGCATCATCAAGGAGTAAAATACTGTTCTTCATAAAATAGTCAAATAGACAACAGCTAGGCTATAATATTATGAGATTTAGAGCAACTTGCTTGTTTGCTGTGCTGTTGTCAGTCTCTTGCCAAGTAAGTATGAGTTTTTCTAAGGTAAGCTACACAGATGCAACGCAACTTGGAAAGGACTTAGCAAAACAATGCTGTTTGAGAGGAAGATAGGAGATCTCATATCTTGTTATGCACTTTCCTTGGCATTGACAAATGATTGGATATCTTACTATTATATACATTTAAATGTATATAACAGGTCTATTAACTGCAATTTACTGTATTTACTAAGTCACAAGATAAAAGCTAYCAGCAACAACTTATAGGTTGAAGAAGCTACAAGCCGACTGCTGCYGATAATTTTAAAGATGCAGCATCAACTTTTTTGCTTGTTAATGTTATTAAAAGGTGCTCTCTGATTGGTTCAAAATCAAAGATAGCAACTCTTCATATGTACTTAAATTGACTCTAAGGCTCAGAGTGTCATTTCAATTGGCAGTTCTACACAAGCTGCAGAAGTGTATGTTAGCAAGTGGGGGAAGTTATGTCAAAGACTTTTTTGCACTGTCTTAAAAGACGTTTTCTTGTCTTTCTTGGAAGGTAGAAGAAACAAAACAAACAGTTAATTAAMGTGAAAGAGTTTCATTGACCCTGTCAATATTTTAAGAGCTTTTACATGTGTAAATCATACATAAAAACATGAAGTCAGTACATMAAAATCATCGTGTCAAAATGCTAGTTCGTATTTGATGTTGATAATGACAAACATAATAGACAGCTAGCTGGAACCKACATGTAGATCAAAATCACTGAAAAAATCCCAAAATTGATAGATTAAATATGAATACTAATCATTTCTAACAGTGATAAAATTGAGTTTCMCTTATGATAAAATTGAATCTGACATTTTATCATCAAAGTACAGATTACCTCTAATTAAAAACTATTTTTCATGTCAACACAAGAAACAGACATGTGACTATCATRAATTGTATAGCAACTAAAGTTACTAGATCGGTATGTGATCTATTATTCATGGTCTAAACAAAATAAAATATACGACTGGTTTTATTTGCACCGACAAAACAAATTGCGCATACACGGTTTTAAATATTTCAAGGGATTTGGACATGATTTCATTTCATATTCATAGAGGATATAACACAACTACAGCGAGCTTATGTGTTAAGACGTGCGGTTTTTTGTAATTAATCATCTTGCATTAATCAACTSAAAGCTTACAAGGGAATACTCACATTCTGCATGAATAAAGGGTGATAATTTCTTCAGAAATTCAAAGCCGATCCACTCAGATCATGAACACCTGAATATCGGAATTTTTACACGCGTATCTTACATCTTTCCAAAATTCCTTTACTGTTTTATACTGACTRAACTCAGCTGTGATAAGCTTTTTATGACTCATACTTTACTTCGCTATGTCTAATTTCCATATTTCACCAGGCAATAACATTGGCGAGAAAAAATATGACTAAAAATGGAGGCACAATCAGTCATTCGCACAGTGGTGCCATATAGAGCGCTACAGAGCACAGCATGGCAACTTACCCAAATACAATAACTTATGCTTTATCGCTTACCAGATAGCATTGTTTCAGATTTTTAGATGCGAGTATTTCAAGTAAAATGCTTTAATTACAAGCCATTACAGTGGTTTGTCAGGATTGTAAGAATGCACAATATCAGCAGTCACCTTTTGTCTTGACGTCTGTGTCTGGGGGCGTTCAGTGTTGGACGAAGAGCTACGGTTAGTAGTTCTCTTTGTGGATGTCGTTGATTCTCCTATTGACAGTTCTGAAGGCCCTTTGACTTTTGTCACTAAATAAAATCACAGAACAGTCTATTCGACATGGAAAAAGACCCATARATACTTGTTTAKTTTACCGATACTCGAAATSTGCCTTGACAGTCCGCCAAAATATTCATAAGTTATGGTACAGACAAATCGAAATGCACTCACCCTTTTGAAGTTTAAACTGGGACATATTTAGTCAAACGACAGCCTTATGAATAGCCTTCACTCTCGAGGGATTTTYACCACGTTACATTTCTCTGCTAGGAAATTTCCAGGGTCATTTTTGAAGGAGAATTTGAGGAAACTCCGTAGGAATCCCGAGTGATGTCGATGTGTTTCTGTGACAGGAAACACTACCCTGTGACGTCATGACAACCAGAAGAGCCTCGATGTCGATGCTTTTAATCTTTTTATTCAATCAGCGATTTTCGTAATCTTGAGAACTACTAAGTCTCAATATACTAATAGAAATCGTGGGTGCTTTTTCAGTGCCCCAAAGCTTAAAAGCATGCAATCAGTGAATATAAAATACTTTATGCAAATTCATGATGTAGAAACTCTTCAATTTAGTGACGTACTGCCGCAGAGGGAGGAAAAATTCAGTTCCTGGAAATCGGGGAAAACTCAGTTTTCGAAAAAGGCATGCGAAATTAGAACACTTTGTAGTTCGCTTAAAGCTTCGTAACGTCATGCATATGATCTCAAGTGCATGATTAATTCTATTTCGTGAAAATTTCTCATAAAAAGTCTTTTTTGTGTGTGATCGAAAAGCACCTCTCGGAGAACAAGCAACATCACGTGATCTTAATCAGAATCTGATCGGGAGTCTCGCTGCAATCAAGGTTTTTAAGAATTTTTTCGGCATCTTTTATATTTTCCTTTATACCAAGCTCATTATTGTAAACTTGATAAACAATTTTTCCTTCGTGTAATTAAATGCGGTTCAGTTACGCATTTAACGCATTAGCCGAGCCTTGAAATAAAGAGACGGTACGACTGCAGTGCATCCGCTTCTATTCGGCAAGGGAATAATCCAAGAGTACAATCACTCAATTCGTACAAATCTCGTCATCTACAACCTTTTTTTATTCATTTTTTTCTATAAATAATTACCATATTTTCCCATATGTACACTTAAAATCTATCTCATCTGTTTTATCTCACTACTTAGCCAAAACATTAATCTAAAATTTAAAGTTTCTTTCGCCGTTCGATTTCTTTTTGCTGGTCTTCGTTTTACTCGGTTTGGGAGCGATATCTTCACTTGATCCATGCCAGCTTCTGCTAGATTTCGATTCTTTTACAGATTTTGGCTCTTTAGTTTCTGCTTCAGTATCAGATATAACCGCGTCTGGCTCTTTTTTGATGGATAGTTTTGCCATTTGCGCAGTTGGCACTGCGGGTTTGGGTGCATGAGCTTCGGCGTGCTTTTTCTCACTTGGAACCCGCGGTGTTTTTGTTTTGCCAGGTTTCATTAATCCCTTCTTGGCCGCTCTTTCCAGTACTTCATGAGCAGTTTCCACTTGTTTCTGATGAGCATAAAATTTTTAAAACGTTAAAAAAACTTAAGATTAGCGATTCTACTTTATTTCTGACTTTTTTTCCTTCAGGCTACATGGAGGTGAGCGAAGAGCACTACATWACCCCCCTATCAGCGTACAAAATCTAGCTCATCAGCTCCTATTAAGCTCACAAGCTTAAATTAAGATCCAATCTATCTTCCCGGGAATAAAACCAAACATCCATCAATCAGCCYGACTCAGTGCAAAGCAACATAGACAGTTTTAAGACAATTCCACACTACTCTTGGTCTTGTGCTATCACACACGATGCACTTTACATTTTACAAGAGTTTTGTACGAATTTATTCAAAATAGCACCACCAAAGTCAAACAAAAGACAAATGAATAAAAGACAGCTAAGATAGATGTTGYGGTAACAGGAACAAAAGAAAACATCGAAACCGGATAATAAAGCAAAGGTTTGATACCATTTCAAACTAGTGAAAGTGCAACGTCTATGGTAATCTGACAAAAAGCGCACTTTGGCACTAATTTTATCACAAAAGTTCCTTCTCTATTTAAGATATGAGTTAGATCTWGTCTATTATTTATTTATTCATTTTATTTTACTTATTTATTGAGCTTGACCTAAATGATTATTTATAAAGGAAGACAGGAAGACACTAAAGGAACACAGACAAAATAACAGATCGAGAAAGGACACCACAACATCTTAAAATCGATTACTGTGGACTGCTGTAAGTCACTAGATCTACAGAATCACCATTCTGGAGTTATTGGAGTTACAATATACTAAAGTACACTGTTGCATTATTTACATTATTACACTTTTTTCATATGCAAAGTGTAACACTTGGATGCTTATGTAAAACTGCGACTATCTGGAGGCTGAGGTTAAGGGTAYTTCTTAACCGCAGATGTACTTATGTGCGGTTACACGAAATCGCTTTCTATTCAAACATTTCCGGATACGGYCCCTATTCAAACAGAAAATCTATTGACACGGAAATATTTTTCGGTGGCCTTTAGATTCGTTAAAATAGGTTTAAATGYATGAAAAAATAYGCGCATTAGTGTAATTGCAGAATTATTAGTTTTTGAAGGTCTACTAAAAAACGCTCCGAGTGTTTTATAAATCAGTGATCGAATTCCTCCGATTATGTCACCAAACGAGCACCTTAAACGTAAATAAACCCAGAATGAGGAGTAAATATCATGTAACCGTCAGATGTGCTATATAATCTCATCATTTATTAGGAATATTTGAAATAWTTTTGCGCGTGTCGGACTGAGCAAAACACAAAGGAAGTTGCACACATACCTGACGCTTCAAAAGGCAAACAAATCCTCCATTCATTGCTGACGATGGTGCCATTCGGATATATTTTTCGTCTAAGTGGAAAGAGAAAAAACTATTTCAGAGTTAACTTAGCTATTTAGGGCTTAAAGCAAAGGTTGGCAAGCACTACGTTCGATTGGGAAGCATTGCGTTTCCATTGGGAAGCACTGCGTTTCCACTGAAAAGTAATCATGCGTTTCACCAGAAGAAATTGTCTTTCTCTTGGAAAGGACTGTTTTTTCTTTGAAGGGCATTGCGTTAGTCCTACGGTAGCATTGTGTTTCCTTTTGGGAGCATTGGATTTTGCTGGAAGTATTGCGTTTGCCCTGAAAGGATAGCGTTTCCCTCTAGAAAGCATTTCGCTTTCCTTGTAGATAAAGCATTTTGTTTCCACTGGGAAGCTTTGGAGAGTACTGCGTTCAACGCATGTCCTTACGTATGTAAGGATTGTGTTTCCTTTAGAGYAGTGCATTTACCCTGAGAATTAAGTCCCGTCCTCTTTAAATAGCATTGCGTTTACCCCCGAGAGTGTGAAGGATTGCGTTATCTTAACAGAATGCAATGCGCTTCTTCTGTAAGAGAAGCATTACTTTTTTCCATCGAAAGCATTGCGCGTCCTTTCGGGAGCATTGCRTTTGACCTGATAAGGATTGTGCTTCTGCCTTTTGCGTTTCCCCTAGGAAGGAAGCCATTGCCTTTCCCCTGGGATGCAGTATAGTTTCTTACCTTTACGATATGATGCATCTTCTACAACACTTGCCGGTAATGCTACGTCTTTAAGACTATGAACCAACGTTGGTAAAGCTTGGTTAATTTCAAAAGTTCCAGTTTTATTATTATTAAGATCTTCTTTCATTTCGTCCATGGCCTTTCTTATMACATCTAAATTCTCGTACTCTGATACCGAACGTGTAATATACACAATCGCTTGAATTAAYGGGAACTTCATTGCATGTTTTAAGATRCCAAGATGCTGGAATGCAAGTCCCCGTATTTTGCTAGCGTCTAAGCTCCCCTGCGCAAGCTCTTTGATGGATGAGGATACTCCCTCTTGAAGAATGAAGTCCACCGGGTTGACGATACCGGACTTGGAACACGGTACATTTGCGACTATGATTTTAACTTTGCGAAAGCGTTCGTCATTGGGTARGGAGTCCAGGAAATGCTCTTCTAAAAGTGATACATCTGGAGTAATTTCGTTAAAGATATTTAGTAAAGCGTAATAGCATTTCTACATAACATTACACCACAAATAATCTCCTTCTCAGAACTGGCCTATTCCAGTCTGCAACAGAAACAGCACGGCACAAGCTGAAGATGAGACAATACTCAATTGTGTTATGTTTTCGAGTGGATTTAGTATGACTGTGCGAACGGGCACGTTTCATGAAACGTGAAATTATTTACCCGTTTTATTATGTTACCATTGCCTGTCATTGTTCTCTAGGCCAGCCACCGCTGGCCGCCCCATTGCCGGATTAGCTCACTAGTGGCAATTAATTTATTTAAAGATTTAAAGAAACAGCACGGGACGGGACTCTCCTAGTAGTGATTCCAAACAAAAATGTTTCAAGAATACATCACCTACACGACACGCTACGGTTACATTTACAAAAATTGCTGTGTTTATTGCACAGTCATACTAAATCCACTGTTATGTGAGTAGTGTGCACAAAAGGATACTCTGAGCTCCCATCACATCCAGTTTTGATTCAAGTTTCTCGTATGTTTGTGGATTTGCACCAAACGCAAATATTTTACGATCRGGATGAATGATTGATGATAAGTATGACGTAACATTCCCTGGAAGAGAATAAGAAAATCACTAAAAGTACCAAACAATGCAACACCACTGCATTTACATAGATCTTAGTATTGGTAATCTAAGGCATATTGATGCAATGTCCGCGATCATATAAGTCGATAGCCTCCGTAGCAGACGTTCCAAGCGGTTCGATTCTCTCCCGCAGAAACTGCGGGAGAGAATCAAATAAATAAATAAATAAATAGTCGAGGCAATGGCTTGTTTCTTGTTTACCAGATGAGTCCACTGCAATGGTTGCTATTAATGTCACTGGAAAAATCTCGCGMTTTAAAGGTTGTAAATTTGATGTAAATATGATGTAAGTGTCCAAAATTCATTCATCATTTACATCAAATTTACAGAATTTTGGACGCTTACATCATRTTTACATCAAATTTACAACCTTTAAAGCGCGCGATTTTTTCCAGTGTGTGTGAGTTCCCCAAACTGTGTGCTACTTTATCCCTCTGTCATGCACATCAACAGTGTGTTTGCTTAATTTGTGGCTCTCATCAAACATTYCCAGATAAATATGGGTGAGAATAATCCCTACTGGCAGGCATAAGGTGGTTAATATTGTAACAGCATTGCAAGGGACCTTTGTACAAATTGATTCGACGCACAGGATTACTTTTTCCTAAAAAATCGTTGTAAACTTTTGTTTATAGCGTCCTCCTCCTCTGGGGCAAGAGGAATGGTGAAAAAAGCGACCCATTCCTCCCCAGTTTTTATAACAAAGGAAACCCTATCAGATATATGAATTCAGCTGGACTGGTAGAGTGGATACTGTCTTGGGTATGATTATATGGCCTAATTTACAGCAGAAATCGTTGCATCGCGACCTCTTTGTTTGGAAGTTTGTCTGGATTTTGTTCTTTCTTTCAATCTGAGGGGCGGAGCTTTTAAAAAACTCGTTCAATCATTGGCTGATTAGTATCAAGCTCCGCCCCCAAGTCGCAGAAAAACCTAAATCCCAAGTATTTTCTYTGAACATCGAAGTCGCGATGCAACGGTTTCTGCTGTAAAGGAMTGTTTTCTTTTGTTTATTTTTTTCCCTGGGGAACACAAAACAAAGGAAATCAGCCCGGTCAATTGAGCAAGACTGCTTCATATAGTTAGRCCCTTGTTTGGGTGACTTTGATTGGTGTGGCAGCACTTTACACAAATTTCAATGTCTATTAACTACCTGATTCTACATGTGTTTGAATGATATCATCTCCTTCTCCAAGGAAATTCTTTAAATCAGTTCCAGGAAGTAAAATGGAGGCTTTTTCTTTTTGTGTGGAAATCTCATTGACAACTTGTCTGACAACCTCCACAGAAACTATAGTTGACTTGTCCTGAATCAAGAGACACATAAAAGCTAAATTAATATTACGCTCACAACACAACACCATTATCTAATCTTAATCCTGCTCTCAATCTATTCACTGATGTCAGGAAAAGTGCTACCATTTCATAACATAGCACTTTTAMAGCACACCAATTCAATTTTCATGGTTTTCTTTTTTTYAATTAACAARSCMRKCYTYACCTGTATAACAAGGTTACCATCGGCAACTAACTCATGACCATGCAAGTTAAACTTGGCTTCAGATGAAAACACCAGCAAATTCTCAAAATGTTGATCCCTACAAAATGCCTTTCTGGCCATTTCATCATCATGAYCTGGTAGTTTCTCCACTTCTTCAAAACCACCTTTTGCCAGAGCTTCACAAGCTTCATCTAAAGTTGTTTTYAAGTTGTTAATCCTWGCGTATACTGGCTGTGAAGCAGCGTATTTGATCTTTTCTTGCTCTTCCTTTGGAAGTAGAGCCTCRACGCTGATAGCACAATCTCGAACTCTACTGCGAGCCAAGGCAGCACGTAATTTGGTTCTGTGTGATACCAGTGCTTCCTGGATTGCTTGGATTTCTGGTATGATGTCTGCCTCATTCAATATGGTGCCTTTTCTCTCATTACCAAAGAAGAAGCCATTTTGTTGATAGTCAAGTAGAAGCACCATAACTCTATGTTTATGTTTTGTTTCAAACTAAAATCAAAACAAATAGAAAATTATTTGAAATTATAAGGCTGCATGCAACTGCAAAACAGCAATGACAAAATTTAGTGACAATAACTGGCTGAAAAGAAATGTATCTAGAACTTCAGATAGCTATAATTTTACTGGGACTTGGTCATAATTGTCTTTTTCACCATTTCATGCCACCTTGAAAGGTAACGGTACCTTTGCATCCAAAAAAATCAASAGGTGAGCTTGATAKATACCTGTAAATAATTGTTTATGGRYGTKAAAGATGGTTCTRTAYATTTGTATTACTGCAAACTCAAAKGCCTTCTTGTTTCRATGCAAAGGAATGGTTGCCTTTTAGGATGGCACAGGGAACTATGAAGGACACTACCGATGAATACTAGTAAACACACTGAAATCACCTTAAAGTAGCTTGAAAAGAAATAACTATCAAGTAGTACATCATCAAGAACTTTTTCATCTGAAAAATATTTGAGCCATACAAGTAATCAGAATCACTGAAGATGTGTATAAATTGGTGCTATGTATAAATGGTAAATGCATCCTGCAAGCAGAGTCTGTGAAGTTGTTTTTTGTTGGTGGTGTTTTCTTGTGCTGTCGTGATCAGTCTTCTTGTCTTTCGCTCTCAAGGGGAAGACAATGAGACTAAGCTCACAGGGAGAATACAGTTTCAAAGGACACTGAAGTGCTCAGACATCATTTCCCACTTGAATTTTGATAACACTTTATGCATAGTGCCATCTCACACAATATATTACTCATTTGAAATACTGGATCATCAAATCTAGTTATTTTACCTCTTAATTACTCSTATTTTTTGCCCACAAAGTAAAATATCAAGACTGCAAATTATGTAATTAGTAGACCATCAACAAACTAATCGCCGCGCTATTGTTCCTTATTGCGCGTATTATGTTACCCTGGTTCCCAGAGGTTTTTCTTTTCTTTTCTAGATTTATTTTTTTTAGTATTTATCGTATTTTTGTTTTTGAATTTTTCTTGCGTCGTTAAATTTAAAAAAGCAAAGAAAAAAATACGATAAAGACTAAACAAAATATCTAGATATGAAGAGAAAACCTCCGGAACCAGGGTAGCAATTTATGTTATAAATTTATAAACATTGTACGTCTGAATATTAAACCAGTAACTGCCTTTTGACAATACTAGTATATATGAGTATAAATAAGTTATTTCATTGCATGTTTATAAAGATCAACATAGATGCATGTTTATAAAGATCAACATAGATTATCAGTTCGGATTATAAAACGACAGATTGGGATTATAACTAGCACAGCTCCAATTCCGTTATAAGCCCTAKAGTGATTCCCTTTGTTTTGCTTTTGTTATGCAAAATTTCGACACTTTTTGATTCTTCCGTAATAAAGAAAAATCAAAATAACCTGTCGAAGTAATTGAGAACTAATTCACTAAAGTAATTGAAAAAGGACAAAGAAAAATCGGGATAATTTTGCACGCTAAACGAAACTTGACCTCCATTGAGTGAGCTCCTTGACAAACAAATTTTGACACACCAAATTCAAAACTGTTCACAGCAYGAAATGCCGTGGTTTCTACAAACAACTTGACAAAACAAAAGATCAAAAGCAGTTAGCACAGCTGAGGGTAAATTTACTACACAAAAATAAGAAAGATAGCCCGCTATTAGTACAATTTAATGAAAAGTATCTTAGCTTTGGCGCGCAAACAAAGCCAATTTGACGCGTTGTGAGCCAAAACTAACAAAACTTAAACTATACTCACATCTTTTAGCTCCAAAAGCCAAACTATAAGCCCTTCTTCGCTCCAAATCATCGTCAAACACAGGTAGTTCAGACGACGATAGCTGWCCTTTGAGATGAAGTAAAATCTTAGAAGAATTCTCATAAATTGAATGACTGAACGTGTCAACTCTCTTCCTGGGTTTCCTCACTACACTTGACTCGCTCTTCGTTCCACGATCAAGCGAACCTTTGCCAGKCTTCGAAACAGATCTTGTGCTATCGTGGCTAGCTGTTTTCTTGGGCCTATGCTCGTGCTTTTTATTCATGRCCGCAGTTTGAATAGCTTCACAGCTAGGGATAATAGATCCGTGGCGACTTTTCAGTGAAGTCAATGAAGCCGACGTATCCTGGCAATAACACGTTACTATGACGTCACACTATGTGGCAATGTCAACTTTTTGACAGGGACAATAAATGCGAAAAGAAAACAACGGAACTGGAAAAATAATATATGATCTGCTTTAAATAAAGTAATTATGTCTTYGAGACTCCATAACAAAGACATCTTGCTTCTAAGCCTAGCTTAAAAAGTCCTGTAAATGACTACGTCCCAGCTAGCACGACCTTATTGAATTCTATTGTTTCTTGTAGGGATATTTTCAAGCAAAATTTTACAATAGGAAAACTAAATAAAGCTTAGGGCAGCTGAATATCATATGCGGTGCTAGTGAAAGTATATGAACAAACAAAAATTTCTCTCTTTCCCTTCCCATTTCCTTTTCTAGATAAATTTCTCTTTATTTTCAATTGTTGACATAGAAAATCTAAAAACCCTTGGCTTGAGAATGTTAAATTTTTTATCGCATTTATTGTGGGCAGCGCCAGAAGTACATAACTTCTGGTTATGTACTTCTGGCAGCGCAGATTGTGGGCACGTCTTGTGAATATGTATTGGGCTTCCTTACAACCTTATGTCCGAATTGAAACTGGTAACGAGTGTTCAGGAACGCCTGGCAATTTTTGACTTTCCTGAGGGTTTTCAATACTTTTGTTTTCTTTTATCTATTTTTGAATTGTAATACTTTGAAGAAGAGAATGCTAGAACCTTTACTGGAACAGCTTAACTCTAAATTAATTGTTTTAGCTAGTGGATCGCCGCGAAGAAGTAATATACTGMGAAAAATTGTAAGTACTA